CCAGTGACCCAGTTCCCGCGGCTACTCCGAGAACAACTCGTCCAACCAGCCCCCGCCACTGACACTTTCCTACTGCCTCTGTTCACGAACCCCCTTTTCGCGCTGGTGTTTCGGACAAATCCTGATGCCACATGAATTGCCTCCTGAAATCATATGAAAACAGAGCCATGCCCCCTCTCCCACTAACACACACACGCTTTCCCAAGACTAGTTTCGGGAACTATTGTTGTTCCTTTTTATAGAGTTAGGCGATTTGGCCGGCTCTCGTCGCTCCTGAATTTGTGTATGCATTGTTGAGGTCTGTACATTGTTTATCCTTTAAATAATTTGCTTAATAGTACCGTACTGCCTTGATAGTTCGCGTGACTGCTGGATACACGGTGAGAGAGGGAAGAAAGACGCAACATACGCTTTGTGGGGAGGCAAAACCACTTTCTTGCAAAAGCGTATTGGAACTAGCAAACGTGATTGCAGATAACCATAGAAACCACTCAAACTCGGTATAGATCAGTTTATTCAAGGTGTAAAGGCATACACCGAAATTTGATGCTGCCAGGAGGCAGGCAGTAGTGTAACTTAATGTTGAAATTTACCATACTGGCAGTACAGGTGCCAGCTACAAGCTGCTAGCACGGTAATTTATAACATAAAGCAAACATTACATTTAACGAGGACTTAACAAAGAAAGGCGCAGTTTGCAGAATTTCTAAAAGAATAGGCCGCATATTTACGGTAGGCAGTTAATAGAAGCTAAAAGTTATTGCGAGTGAAAAATTCGCGGACTCGGTGGGCGTCAAACACACACAGCGGGGAAGGTTTTTGCCCAGCCAACACTAACCTAACCACGTTCTAAATATATAGTTATATATATTCATTCAGGAATGGCCGAACACCGATCAAATTGGCTTCCGAAGTAAACAAACTTCAGGTGGTGGCTTGGGCTCCCGAAACGGGTGACCACCCGCCAGGCCGACGCCGGCCAAGTCATAATGGCAGAGAGGGATACTACAGGGTGTCCCAAAAAATGTATACACATGTTACATAATTTTAAAATTGGTGTTTATCGTAATTTTATTATTTAAAAAAATTTTTTGGGAATTTTTCAATTTTATTGCGTAAATTTTCGACACGGACCCACCGGT